GAAAGGAGGAGAACAACATTGGCCCAATTAAACATAACAACCAGGCTTTTCATAAAGCTGAGGATATAGCAAACATCTTCGCTAGCGATTACGAAGACCAATTCACGTTAAATCAGTACTCCAACCCAAATGATGTTAACATCGAAAACCATGTAAAAGATTATATTGCTACTAATAGTCGCAGCGTAGGAAATCTCATCACCCCCGACAAGTAAAAGATTGTCTCGATACTTTGAACCCAAAGAAAGCGGCCGGTTATAACGGGATTTTTAACAAAGCGGTCAAGAACCTGAACAGCAAAGGGATAATCCTCATTACAAACATTTTTAACCCTTGCTTAAATTTGAACTATTTCCCTCGTATCTGGAAACACGCTACCATTAACGTCATAAGAAAACCAGGAAAAGGCGGGTCAACTACGAGCGGTTATAGACCAATCAGCTTGCTAAATTATTTGAACGAATTAGTGTAAATCGAGTTAATAACTTCATTGAAAGTCACAACTTGCTAAAGAATTACCATTTTGGCTTCAGACCAGGTCATTCTACAGTACACCAAATCACAAGAATTACAGAAATTATCGAACAACATCTAAATAAGAAAGAGATTGTTGCTGCCCTATTTTTGGACATCGAGAAGGCTTTTGACAAGGTTTGGCATGCTGGCCTCCTTGTCAAAATTATAAAATTATCAATTTCCTCCGGACCTTATTACGACAATATTCAGCTTTCTAGACAGTAGAACTTTTCAGGTTAAAATTAAAGCGACTTTATCCAGCAAGAAAATTATTCAGGCCGGTCTTCCGCAAGGAAGTTTACTTTCGCCAATATTATTTTGTCTATACATCAACGATATGCCAAATATCCCAGATACTACTTTTGCTTGCTATGCGGATGACACCGCAATCATGTGCAGTTCTATTAGCCCCATCAGAGCAAGAGATAAGCTTCAGAAAGCCGTTAATATCCTCACCAAGTGGTTTTACGCTTGGAAGATCAAAACCAATGCAACAAGTCTCAAGTCATATTTTTTAGATACAACCTTAAGGAAGTAAACAACATAACACTAGATGGTGCCACAGTACCTACAGTTAAAAATATTAAGTACTTGGGTGTAATTCTTGACGATAAGCTTACATACAGGCCGCATATTATGTATACTCGTGAAAAAGCTCACAAAGCTTTTACGTCTATTTATGCCTTAATAGGGAGACATTCAAAATTACAACTAAGTACTAAGGGAATTCTCTATCTTCAAGCAATAAGACCGATTTTATTGTACGCAGCACCAGCATGGACCGCTACAGCCAGATCAAATCGTCAGATTTTGCAAAGATTGCAAAATAAATTTCTTAGAACTATCACAGACTCACCGTGGTTTGTAAGAAACACTGCAATACATCGTGGAATGAAAATCAAACCATTAGATAGCGAGATCTTAATTGCCTCACATAATTTCTACACCCAAATGGTGATAATCACGAAAATGAAGCTGTACGTAGCATAGGAGATTATGACTATACAGTCATTCAACGCTGCAAAAGACCAAGAACGATACACCATAACGAGTTATGGTGATCGATGTACATAGTGAATTTAATGTTTTTTCTACTTTTCATTGTTTACTCGTATTTATATTTTACTTAATTATTGCTTAACTATTGCAAAGCGATATGGACTTTGCGCTCCCGGAGGGCAGGACTTTGATTTGTCTATGTGTTATAAAACTTCAACGTTTGGTCAATGCAACTATGCTCCGCCCACTACTGTTATATGCCTCAACTATTATGCCCACGCTATTCTGTTGCTCCAAGACACGGAGGAAGGAGGACACTCAGCCGTCGTACCTACGAAGAGAAAGTTATGCCAAAGGTATTTATGCTACAGATGTATTAAATTTCTTTTACGATGTGAAAGTTATACTTCAGATGTTAAACCGCTATTTTTCCCAAGTTATGCCACTGTTACATACTGCCACATTGGATATCATTCAACACTTCAAGTGTACATGTTTATTCCAATACTTGGAATTTTTTTTTTTTTTCACTTTTAGGATTCCTATTAAGGACAGTTATAGATAGGTAAAGACTTCAGGGTCGTATACCTATTGAATAAGCGAGGACCTAAGACCTAAGAGGGAGGTGTTGGACTTTCGGGTCCGATGCTAGGTTTAATGAGTACCGCCACAGTTGGTGGACCGCCTCGCGGGCAAAGCGGCGTGGAAGCACAGAAAAACTTTGAATGCTTATTTTTGAAATCCCAAGTGGTCTCGTACCCACATCGAGGTGCCTAGTATAATTTCCCGGTCGCAATGCTCTGGTTTCTCTTCATTGTACGAGATGGGAAAAATGAGCAGTGCTCGAGCCTGGACTCGAAACACGGACCTCTCGAATACGCGCCGAGCGTGCTGACCGCTACACCACGAAGGCATGCTAAGAAGGCGGGGGAAATACCTTATACAGTATCGCGTTACTGTGATTGAATTGCAGTATCGAGAGATTTAAAATTATGTACATTTTTAAAATTTTTCACATACATTAAAAATTATAATAACATGTAAATAAAGCAGGGCAAATGAAAAGGAAGGTAACACAGAAAATTTTATACAAGATTAGAATGCAAATCAAAAACAGTTATGAAAAAGTTATGCGTTCCTAAATATTTCTTCACTTTAGAAAATAATGTCACAGACATTCTGGAAGCAGAACTTTTACAAATTAAATAAATTCAATACATGATTTTGAGACAATAGTATGCATGCGTATTTTTTCTTTGAAGCAATTTATAAAATAAATTCCTTTGTTAGAATTTTTTTGGACATATTTGAAACAGCACACCAATTGGTTATATGCATTTAAGTTCTTGATAATAATATTTAATTTCTGTTTCCTTCTATTCAAAAACTGTTTTGCTACTGCTGAAGATATAAAAAGGTTTAGTTAAGGCTCTTGGAAAGTTTAGTTGCGGCTTTTAAGCATTCTTGCGGCTCTTTGAAAATTTAAGCTATTGCTTTTAAGCATTATTGAATTCTGTTAGGTAGCTTTTAGGCCCCCTACTTTAGTTTTTAAAAAAACATCTCGTGCCTTCAGAAGACAGCCCTTAGTGAGGTGAACAAAAGAAAATGATCTCCCTGTGTCCAATGGTGTAAGTTGAATTCATGGGTCCCTCAGCAAAAGCATATTTCTCTCCATGATGGGCTTTTCACTAATGACGACTTTGGTCGGAGCTAAATTAGTTATTAAGCAATATACAGAGACTGTTCGCACGTTTAGATGACTTTGCTTTGCTATAAAAAAATCACCTCCTTGGAAAAAAAAGAAATTTTTTTACTGCAGCTATATTTTGCAAAGTATAAATTATCGTCTGCTGCCAATTACAAATTTGAATAAGCATTTTTTAAAAAAATTGTAAGCAAATTGCTTTCCTTTGAGAAATACGTTGTAAAAGAAATATGTGATTTATGCCACTGAGAGGTGTTACCGGAGACTTATTTCACTAGTGAATATCACATTAGCTACATTCAGCAATCGAATATTTTTGTTGGTATATTTGGTTTTCATACAAAATGACACTTCTAAAGAAACTATGGACGAAAGGCTATGTTTGTGCTCTTTTCGAAGAAAATTATTCGTATTTAGTCATTAAAAATTGTTCTGAAAGACATGGTTTGTCAATAAGAGGAGGGAAAACTTCAGAGTTTGGCTTCAAAGAGAAAAATTGTTCAAAATACATATCCAAGGAAAAACCGGAATATTTCGAATGTTGCAAAGGTAAGAACTAGAATTTTAAAACAAAATCTGCGAAGTCAAAGGACAGTTGAATAATCATTAAAATGCTCAGTATCAACTTTAAACAAAGCTATTAATATTGATTTGAATCTTAATCCAAAGAAAAGGAGAAAGATCGTCCTTCTCCGCGACATATCTACGAAAGCAGAACGCGCTGCAGAATTCTCTATGAGAAACAATTATTCGAATAAAAATGGAAAACTGTTGTCACACTAGATAGATCTTGGGTATATTTATATGACTGCAATAAAAAGAGATCCATTTATTATCATAAAAAGAAGAAAAAAATCTTAGAACATGGTTCAAAGAATCTAAAGAAAGTTTTTCAAAGGAATTTATGATTGTTGTTGGTTTTTGATAGAACGGCAAATACGAATCAAAGAAAGTGCAAGAAATTGTTAAGGTCAGCTTCACGTATTATCAGAAACCAATTTTACACATATTATCAGGATACCCAATTTTCAAATATTTTGCGCTTTTGGACTTTTATAAAGCGAATTGTCTAAAAGGCGACCTACAATCTTCCTTGGACTTCGGAAAGTTTTTTAAGAGAAACGAGATATAATACCTCTTTTAATACTAAAATTGGCTTTATTGTCTCGTAAATTACGATGTAGAAAGATAGTGAAGAATAAGAGTTATCAAATTGAACATTTAAAACACAAAAATTTTAGGTAAAATATTTCTGTAAATACAATGAAAATTGTCTCAAAAATGCGCTAACAGCCTCTTCTGGTAACAGCGCTATAATACTTAAATTATTCTATAAATAAGAGTACTTACGTAAGTTACCAAGAATATATAGTTAAAGAATTCAGATTTTGATTAAATTGTATTTCAAAAAATTTACAGTTCCACATGAGCTAGGGTTTTACAATTTGAATTAAGTTCAGTATGAAATTATGTTTTAAATTTGAAATAAAGGGCATTCGGCTTCCATTCAAAATGCATATTTAATTTCAAGTTTTAAGATAATTTATGTACGGATTTACAAGTTTTAGACCAGGAGATATTTTATACAGACATGATATGCCTATCTACCGAGATTTCACACTTTAGTTGATAAACAATTTAGCAGTTGTGTACGAGCAGAGTATATTATATCATCGAGACATAGGACTTATCAAATCAACCCTTTTGAAATAATTATCTCATCTTGTGGGAAATAACAAATGGTGTACATAACGAAAATGTATAAGAATTAGGATACTCTCTTAATATTTTCACGGATTGCAACAAATTTGTTGTCATAATATTCGAAGCAATATGTTGTGGCTCGTTGTGTCCGCGCTATTCGTCGGTCTTGTTAACGGTCATGCAAGTCTAGATGAGCCTCCCGGACGGTCAACTATGTGGCGGTATGGTTTTGATACCCCCGTGAATGACGAAGATATGGAATTATTTTGTGGAGGGATAACAGTAAGATCTATCTTTGAATTTCTTTGTGATATTTGTAAAACATTAATTCTCATTTAAGTTGGGAATATGGATAATTAATTTGCTATCTGCAAATTAATTTAATATTTTAATATCATATCATATTATTACCGAATTTTTTCTCAAAACATTATTACAAATAATTAAATACATACCTAGCATGTGAGAATTTATCATCATTGATTCTTGTTTTATGTCTTTTGTTTACACAACGAATATTAAAATTCTCATAGTATTTCATATAGCTGTCCTAAAGACTGGTTATTCAGTCTTCGTTCTGAGTTTCATATTATATATATTGAACATGTTACTCTGCTAAATTATCTTCATTCTCATTTTCCTTAAAATATGCAAATTTTTTAATTATTTGCCTTCTTAATGTTTATGTTATTTTAAGGTGCATGTCACTACGAATCCGAATTTTTTTATATCTTAAATACTTTTATTATATAAATTAGGACAATATGCCATTGAAAAAATAATGAAATATTTTCATTTATTTTTGCACCTACGTACAGGTACTACTTGATTTAAAGAAAAGTTATTTTCTGAAAACGTTACGTAAGCTGAATTTTAATATGCAAAGGACCGTCAACAGATTATAGAGAAATAAAGTCATAAAGTATCTTTAAGATCTTAATTTTCATTAAATAATAAACATGGAGCTAACTTTCAGCATAAGTGAATAGGCAAAGTTCCAGGGTTGAAATTCCCAACAAAAACCATGAAGTCTTTACATGTCTATCTAAAGTCATCTGCAAATTTATGAAACATCTTCCAATATGAGCTCTGAATTTGAAAGAAAAAAAAAAAAAAAAAAAAAAAAAAAAAAGAATTGGTCAATGAAAATATCCCCGTGAATCAGTTTTAACTTTAGACTACAGGATTTGTTTATTTAAATTTTAACTTACTACTTATTTTAACTTACTGTTTTACTAAACTTATTTTAATTTACTTGTTTATTCAAATTATAAATTCGCACTGCAGGACAAAATATAAACATAAAACAGTCTTCTTCTCAAAGAGATTTTTATCAGTCTGTTTATTACTTTTATAATTAAATTCTAGATTTACATTAAGACTTACCAGTTCTATATTTAGTTTGAAACTGAATTTCAAATCGTTTTTTATATGTGAAGTTTTTAGTTCTCTGAAATTCCATTTTTGAATTACTGCGTATTCATTAGGATATATCAGTAACACATGTATAGCTATCATCTTCGAAATTATTCGCTATTGAATTGCGATACAAATTTCCATGTTTTTCTAAGCAATGGTATGAAGACTGATATATATTCTGTACCTTCTGGTAAACACGGTAAGGGAATAATGATAATAAAATTTTAAATAATAAGTCATATAATGGAAGAGAGTCATATTCAAAGCTTTGATTAAATAATTCGTATTTGATTCGAATCTAATAACTGATTTCTCGTGTCATATCAGTGTCAAATCTTACGTTAATATTTCAAGATAATATTCATTGCATTTATTTTTATATAATTTTTATATCTGTATATGCAACTAATTTTATCAAAATGCGTCAATAATCTTTCAATTTCGTGATTATTATTTTTTTCTGAACTACTGAAATTAAAAATGACTCTGATAAATTTAAGCAAACTCAGTTTTCGTATTTAGTTCTCATTTTCTACGATGTTCAATACGATACCACAAGAAATGATACTACGTTCATCAAAATAACTCATAGTTTAAGGACCAGCAGCACATCAAAATAATTCTTAGTTTAAGGACCAGCAGCACATCAAAATAATTCTCAGTTTAAGAATCAAGACTATATATCATGAGAAATGAGGAACCCTTTCCTATATATATTAAACTCAATATATATTAAACAATAAAATATTAAACTCAGATGCTATGAGCAAAGTGCATCTATAAAAACAAAATCTTGTTTTAGTTCCTTTTCAATTACAAATTTGAATAAGCATTTTTTAAAAAAATTGTAAGCAAATTGCTTTCCTTTGAGAAATACGTTGTAAAAGAAATATGTGATTTATGCCACTGAGAGGTGTTACCGGAGACTTATTTCACTAGTGAATATCACATTAGCTACATTCAGCAATCGAATATTTAATAATTATTCGCTTATGAATTTTCAGAGACTCTGGAAGATCAATAAAGGAAAGTGTGGTATTTGCGGAGATGCATGGGATCTTCCAGAACCTCGACCCAACGAGGATGGAGGTAAATATGGAAACGGAATAGTTGTGAGGACCTACAAAGAAGGCCAAGAGTTTACCGCCAGAATCAATATCATTGCTAACCACAGAGGTTACTTCGAATTCAAGCTTTGTCCAGTTCGGCCTGGTGTGAAAGTTGATCAAGACTGTTTGGACAAGCACCCTGTTCCACTCGCCGACGGTTCTGGTAATCGTTATATACTGCGTAACGCGAAAGGATTTCTTGATATTCAACTTAAGTTGCCCAAAGGATTGAAATGTGAGAGATGTGTATTACAGTGGCACTGGAAAGCAGGTAAAAAAAAACTGTTTGCTCAAAGTTTGAAAATTACGACCAAGTATGTCTGTTGTTATAATAAGCCGCTAAGTAACTGTACTAATCTTTATTCATTAGGTGACGTTTTTTAAATTATTAACTAAGATAAATTAAACGAGGAAAACTTTTTTTGGGGGGAAAGAAGGGCGTAGAAAGTCAAAGAGCGCTTTAGATAGCGCTGAGATATTATAATACAGCTCATGGAAACAGGGGAAAAAAAATTGCAGATACTTATTTATTTGTATCCAGACAGGTACAGCAAAGATAATTGGTTAAGATACGCTAGGTGGAAAGAAACGAAATAAAACATAAAAGTGGGCTTTTCATCTTTAGAAGCGGTAAAATACTTTAAGATAAAGATTTTTCAAGAATAGTTGCCATTCGATCGTTCTGTTTCTTAGTTCTCGTTATCCATACTGAGTTTCATGATTAAAGCGAAATGCTTTCGTTTATACAAATTTCCAAATCAGTGCAGCTGATAAAAAATATAGTTGCGTGCGTACGGGTTCGTTACGAAATGAATGCACAAATCCGATGAAAAATGAACAAAAATTTATTATTATCACAACAAATATGATTAAATTTTCTCAAATTATCATGTAGTATTACAATATCTCACAGTAGTTGTCTTTTAAGTACTCATATGTCCAATAGAACGTAATTCAAAACAGCTAAAGAAAGCTAATCCGCGAATTCGCTACAATCAACAAAAGCAGTTTTCTAAACAACAACAAACTAAGCAAGAAACTAACTACAAACTGAAATGTTTTCCTCCTTTTATAAGATTTTAAAATCACGCGCTAGAATTTTCCAGTACTTTCTCGAAATCAAAAAGAGATATTTATTTATTTAATGCACGCGCTCTTGTATTTTCAATTTTCCGGCTTAGCTTTCTTTTAATATTCGTCACGCGCTGCACTGCGCGAGAAATAAAACCATTTAATTTATAATTGAACTAACATTAGCTTTTTAAATACCAAATTCGTAACACTGCCCCCTTCCCAAGGACTGCACGTCCCGGGCAGTACAATCCCTGGACAGGAAGCTAAACTTACAACTGTGGCATAAATGCAATAATAAGCATTACATTACAATAATAAACAACATGAACAATAAATGCAATAAATAAAACAAATCAAATGCTATCAAATACAAATCAAATCAAATACACATTTAAAAACAAAAAGGACCATGGTCTTATACTATTTACAATTATTTACATTACGTACTATGGCCATAGTAATGAGCTAACCTGTCGTAATGAACGACTTTAGGTTTAGAGTTCGAAGACTTACGGATCCGAACCACGACGTCATTCAGCCTGTTTAGGACTGTGTACGGACCATCCCAAGGTGACTGTAATTCAGGCCTGACTCCTTTTCGTCGAATCGGGTTCCACAACCCACACCTTGTCTCCTTTGTTGAATCTATGTCCAGTAGCTCTCGTGTTGTATCTGGTCTTCACTTTCTCCGTCGCCAAGTTCACTCGCTTTCGTGCGGAACGGTGCATCACTTCAAAACGGGCCTGGACATCTTGGATGTGTTCCTCAGGCGATGAAGGCGCATCCGTAGGGCGATCAAACAGGCGGTCACAAGGCAGACGAAGGTCTCGACCGAAGAGCATCTGAGATGGAGAATAGCTGGTAGTCTTGCGTTTCTTTTCGACCCTAGTATGATTTCGGCAGCTTCCCGAGCTGGGTCTTTCGGACAAAGCGTCGGCATTTCCAGGCGAGGATCCCTTCTGAGGATGGATAGTCATGTCTTCAGATGCTGAAAGCAGTTTATTGTTTTTGAAGTCTAAGGAAAAATTGTATTTCCTTAAAAAGTCCAATCCGAGTATGCATGGATCTGTAATATCCGCCACATATGCCGTGTGATGGTAGGCGGCACTTCCAAACGTGATGTTCACGTTTAACTTCCCAGCTATGTCGATCTTGTCACCAGACGCAGTCTGAAGGGTAACACAGGATGGCGTCCAAATAAGTTTATCTTTAAACTGTTCAGCTAAATCTTTCCTAATGATGGTAACATTAGCTCCTGTGTCAATGATCATATTGCAAGGAACTCCATCGATATTCCCATTGATGGACAGTCCGTTATTGTTGCCACTCACTGTATAAATTTTAAGCGCTTTAAAACAAGGTTTTTCATTATCTGGCAACCTCCGTTCCTCGATATGGTCACTAATTTGTTTACTGCGTCGTTGCTGGGAAATGGTCTTATTTTCCGTACCTCGGGGTGTTCTGCAGTTTCTTCGTATGTGGCCTTCAACTCCGCAGTTCCAGCACTTTAGAATTAGTTTCTTTTCACTTCTGTTCCGTCTCAAGCCACTGACTTGTCTGGTAAAATCATCTGCTTTATATTCCGTACCCTGGGGTTCTGCAATCTGCCGTCCGTTAGGTGACCTTCACTACCACATCTCCAACACCTTAGAGCCACTTTCTCCTCGCTCCTACTCCGTATCAAAGCGTCGACATGTCTGGCTAAATCATCTAAACGAGCCATCAGTTGATCCACTGGCTCATGGACTCGCACAGCTCTAACTGGGTAGCGATCTCTATGAGTTGCTTCCTGGGCTGCCTCGACTTATACGGCGTACAACAGAGCGCTTTTTATGTCCTTCACATCTGCCATTCGCAGAGCTTTCTGTATTTCAGGGTCCCGGATACCATCAATGAAATATTGCAGCGACAGGATTTCCCTTGTTTCTGTCGGGCACTCCGAAAAGGCGTGATGGGACAGCCTTTCAACATCCGTGGCGAGCTCCTGAAGTGTTTCGGTAGGCTTCTGTTGACGGAGATTTTAATTGGAAGCCTGCTGTAGTCTTTTAAACATTTCTCCCCAAAGCGCAGCTCCAAGTGCGCCGGATAGAGCTTCGAAAGTCTAAGTCTTTGGTTTTCGGGAAGCGTCTGCAGGATATCCGCTGCGTCTGCTCTCAGAGAAGCGGCGAGATGACAGGCCTTAGCTTGGGAATCCCATCCATTCGCATCCGCCATTATAGAAAATTGTGTTTTATATACTTGCCAGGAGGTCTTCCCATCATAAGTAGATAGCTTCAGAGAGGGACGAGGAGGCATAGGTAAAAATTTAAAACCATCAAATTTTTACCTATGCCTGAATTACGCTATATTAGCTTTGAATCACACTATTGTTCCCTGCCGTCGCTACGAATTTCTTTAAATCATCAACTTCTTTGGTGACCGCAGAAACTCTATCACTAATTTGTTGTTCCACGGCAGAAACTCTCTCTTCTATTTCTTCTTTTACCGAAGAAACCTTTTCTTCAATGTTTCCAACTTTATTTTCAACTGCGTCAATTCTGCCTTCCATATTGAATTTCGTTTCTATTATGAAGGCAATTTCTCTTTTCATTTCGTCTTGACCTGCTTCAATCTTTTTTTGTACAGCTTCTATATCTTCTTTTAAAGTTACTTGACCAGCTTCCAACTTTTCGTGAACTGCATCCATTTCCTTTTTAACGGATTCTTCCATCTTTTTCTGACCAGATTTCATCTCATCTTTCATTTCTTGCTGGCCCAATTTCATTTCTTCCTTAACGGATATTTGAGCAGCATCCATTTTCTCTTTAATTTCTTCTTTAAAAGATGTTTGGCCAGCTTCCATCTTTTCTTGGAACGCAGCAAAAGGAGTAATGAGCTTTCTCAATTGCTCTTCCATCCCTCTTGTTATTGGCATTCAAATCCCACTTCTGACACCAAAAATTGTTGCCTGCGTACGGGTTCGTTACGAAATGAATGCACAAATCCGATGAAAAATGAACACAAATTTATTATTATTACAACAAATATGATTAAATTTTCTCAAATTATCATGCAGTATTACAATATCTCACAGTAGTTATCTTTTAACTACTCAAATGTCCAATAGAACGTAATTCAAAACAGCTAAAGAAAGCTAATCCGCGAATTCGCTACAATCAACAAGAGCAGTTTTCTAAACAACAACAAAGTAAGCAGCAACTACGAACTAAATCGAAATCGAGTGAATGGTTAGGCGGCATTTAGTAGCCTCTGCTACTTTAACCGTCTCTGTTGAAGATATGCCCTAAGGCGTTGAGAAGAATTAAAAATTAAGGTGATTTACATCGCACCGACAAAGGTGAAGCAGAAACATGTGCTAATGCACGTGAGTTGGTCAAGTAGACTTTGGAGAAGGAGAGTTCAAGCATCTGACCGCCGTACAAGCTGTGATGTATCTTCATTAGTTGAAGAAAGATGATACGTCGAGGCCAGTCACGTGGGTGGTCACTCACCCAAGTACTGACCCCGAGCTCTGTTGCTGTAAACAGGGGAACCTGTGTGTTGAAAAAGTGAAAAGAAATCGTAAACATAGTGAAATTCCCTCAAATGCTTCTAAGCTGGTGATTACTCTTCACTTTCAGCAAATCTCATCAGTGTCATGGCTGCTTTGAACCCGGCAGTAAACTTCTCAGCCGTGGTTTTTGCAGCGCGGATCTTCTCAACGTGCTCAACCATACTGTTCAGAAATTTTTTGATTTTAGGATCTTGGATCCAGTTTATGATATCCTTGTACTCTGTGGGTGGGTTTTCCAATTTTTTCTTTACTCTATCACTGTAGAGAGGTTTCATCTGGGTTTTACTGCTGTCTTCCTCTGTTTCGATGAATTTCGGAAAATCTGCCGGCGTAGGGATCTTAGCTGCTGGCTTCGCCTGCTGCTTCTTTGCTTCATATCGCTTCTTGTACACGGGGCAACCCCTGTATGAACTTACATGCGGTAGTGAGCAGAAGATGCACTTAGGTTTTTCTTCTGGCTTTAGAGGGCATTCTTTACTTCTATGGTGCTGTCCAAACTTGCAGCATCGCTCAGGATTTGAGCAAAGATGTTGCGAATGTCCATATTCTTGACATCTATAGCATTGAATTACGCGTTTTTTCGGGCAAACTTCTCGATCTTGACATTAACACTTAACATATTGTTGAGTCCATGAATTGCACGTCCTTCCTTCTTTTTCTTCAGCTCCAACAGGAAAATCGGAAGTTTCTCGATAGCGTCTCCTCTTCGTCTGGAAAACTGCTTGACTTTACTTATCGGGAATTTCCTTCTCTCCAGATCTGCCTGGATTAT